GAAGCAGTCGCAATATTAAGGTGACATTTACTCACTGGTTTTCTTAGTGGGAAGACTACCAAACCCAGGACGATAAAGCAAAATTTTGAGATTTAATCCTAGCTTTGAATACAACAAAAAACCTCTTTCCCATTCCATCAGTGCTCGTTCCTCACACGTATGTACAGTGACAGCACAAGCTGGTGCTTGTTTCAAAAGAACAGAGACACACACAGGAAAGTACCTCAGGGTGGGGATGGCCAGTGCTGAACTCTTCCTCTGCCAGCGAGGCTTTGCCTGATATCCTGCTCTTCTGCTGGTTACCCACCTTTCACCACAGCTCCCCTCAGACTTACTCACTGAACTCATGTATCTAACTTCAAGCCATGCAGCCCCTTTTATTTCTGTAATTCTTCTTCTACAATATTTTTCATCAGAGTGTATTTTCTAAGTAGAGCAGCTGTGGAACACAAATCTTAAAACAACACAAAATCTTAAAAGAAAGAGCAATATTGTCCTACTGTAAAATTATTAAAAAGTCAAAATTTACTCCTTTAAAACTTGGTTCTCTCTTCTTCACATCTGGTATTACAAGAGACATTTAATAATTATTATGGAAGATTTTAGTGAAATCCTTCTTATGAACTCACTATTCTGCTTACTACACAAATATGAACTTTGAAGCCTATCTTTCCTTCCCGTCCCCAAAATTTTAAACATCCTATTGTTAAAACAAACAAACAAACAAGTTACTAATTTCTGCACAACAAATAGTCCATCTGTTTATTCCAGTCAATGTAGTGGGATAAAGAATATGCAACTGTACCTAATGCTGTAAGCCAGGACATCAGTACCTTAAACACTTGACCTCCAAACAAAAAGAAGAAAGTATAAAGTATGCACCTAAAGCAGCATGCCATCTTTTAATTTTGCTGTGCAGAATATAATACAACCTTTCCAGAAGTTATACACCATCAACTCATGCAGCAAGTGCTAAAAGAACACAAGGAACAATAACATTATACAAATCAGCTGCACCTAAAATGCTGAATGTATTGCAATACTATAATACCATTACAAAATCTCTTAGGCACAGTCTTACTACCAGCAAATTCACAAAGCTCTCTTTAATGAAAATTATATCCAAGGACATAACTTGACTTTTAATCCAAGGATACAATTTAGCCCTTAAGTATACAATTGAGAAAAATATCATTAGGCCCAGAATTTATATTTCCTTCACATTCCTGCACTACTAATTTTAACTAGGCATAGGCATAACTGCTGGACACATTTAGTCCAAGAGGTGTACTAGTTCAGACCACAGATCTCCCTACTTCAGCACACCATGTCCACAATGATGGCAAGGGGAGCGTGTAAGAACAAAGCTAGTATGTAGAATCCTCAGAATGCTGGAGTTTAAAGACAGGTAATGTCTTTCAATTTGGAAGAAAATACAGATTAGACAATCCAGTTTCTTCTAGATGAACACCTCTTTCTGCAGAATAACCAAATTAATATGTATAAAGCATATATATTCTGATATAAAGTTTCATTTTTAAGGATGTACAAATCAGTCTGCAGTTCTGGACTCTGAACCTGCACATGTTTTCAGTAACATTCATGATGTTAGCTTTAAAAATATACTTTAGGATTACATTAAAAGTTTTCAGAATTGCATGTGTAAAACATTGAAGGGATCTAAGGAGTGCTTTCTTAATTTGGGTATTACATTATGGATAGAAATCACATCCTTGATCAAGCTTTAAAGGCAAGCTCTGTGAATCATGTTAAGTCAAAATAGTGACAGGTGAAGGCCCATTTCATAGTAATAGCACTGGGCTTTTTTGGCCACTGTTACCTATTTACCAAAGCCTGTTGTGCATTCTCATGGACTACAGCAAGAGTCATCTACAAATTCTAGATTTTACAGATTTGCCTGTCTTAATGCATCTTACATATAAAAACCCCCAAACAAATCACCAAACCTAACACCCACCTTGCTATGTAAAAACAATGTTTCTTCTACTTCTCTATGGAGTTGCAACACACTGAATCTACTATGCAAACAGCAGATTGGCTAATCTTTCTTTCTTTGGACAGAAGAAAGAGAAGCCTGAAAGGAAAGAAGAGCAGAAGAAATGAGTAACATGTTCTGGGCACAAGTATCAATAAGCAACACTTTGAACTCTGGAGTTATGGAACCACAGAGCATGAGTTTTGTGGAAGTCTGAGTGAAACAACAGAAATCAGATTTTTTTTTTCTGCTTTCTGCATGACCTTTGGATAGGGGCAGGGGAGTAAATAAAGACTATCAAGATGATCTCTGTTTACTCAAACAAGAATTTAGGAACAGTAATCATCAATGACATACAAGTTTCTACAATCACACTGTGTCTTGGAAAAAAAGATATGCCTTAATTCTTGCCCATTTCCCAAAGAGAGATATAAATCTCAAGTTGAAAGTTTCAATACAAATTGAATGAGTTGCAATAATTTAATTTTCTATTTTGTCTAATGCATCCAGTCAAGAATGCATTTACTATATCTTTAGGGCTTTGTAGCTTTCCTGTTTATTTTAATAACAGTAGTTTCATGCCTAGAGCTCCACACATTGAGATAAAGACATCAAGGCACCTCACCAAACCCCACAGTGCAAAATGTGAATCGTAGCCTTTCTTGGTCTGTTAACACGGTTGCCATTCAGATATGTACAGTGGTAGCAGCCCACTGTAATATGAAAATTTGAGCTGACTGTAGAGATAGAAGTGTGAGTGAAAACACATGAAGACAGTACTTATTTAATCAATTTCCTATTGTAGCCAATTCCACATTTTTTCCATCATTTAAAAGAACAAAATGCTACTGTCTTCCATTAATCAAAAATAAACATGGCATACAGAAGATACAGCCAGAAAGGAAGAAAAAGGAGAAGAGCTGAAGAGGTGAGAAACACAGATATACCAACTACAGGTACAGCCTTTACTCAGGCACTTCTACCTTCACTTACAGCAAGCACAACAGTATACCAGTCACCAATAGGAAAAGGAGCATAAAAACAAGTGTAAAAATTACAGGGAATTGGTTGAGAAGATAATGATTGGGGTGAGCAGCCAACTGCAGTTCAGAGTGCATCTTCTCTTCTTTGAGAGGTGGAATAAGACATTTCTGTAAGGCCTCCATGTTCCACTAAAAACACAGTTTTATCAGTGCTGAAGTTGACCCAGCCTTTTATGGGTGACTCAGGCTAAGGCTCACTAACACAAGCAGCTCAAACTGCAAAAGATGAAGGTGAGCAGCAAAAAAATGATGACAAGCACCTGGGGAAAGTTCGGAGTATAAGATCTTCCCTGGTATGTCTGCAGAAAGCAGCCTATTTCTAACTCACCTGTAGCACTACAGTACAAATATAAACTAAGTATTAAAGTAAGCTTGTTGGGAAAAAAACAAACAACATAACAAAAGCACAGTCACGGACTTCTTTCAATATTTCCTGTGTTAAAACATTGAAAGAAAAAGGTAAAAAGGTATTTCTTAAAACAAAAGTCCTACTTGATGGATGTGTGAAGTAAACATGAATAGGTAATTTCAAGGTAGCAATGCTACCAATAAATACTGCGTGCTCCAAATATTGACTCAAGTGTCAGTTCTTTGAGACACTCCATGATCTATGTGATCTAGCAAAGTCTTGAAAATTAAATGTTGAGGGGACAGAAATCAGAGATCATCAGGCCATCAATATCACCACAGCCAGAAACTCCAACCAAAAGTCACCCAGGCTTTTATGCTGAGTTTATGAACCCCATTTTGTTGTATCACCAATATAGAATTTCTAAGCAACAATTTGAAAAAGTAATACAGAAATAATGAAATTGAACTCTTTTTACTTAAAGAAGAAATACATATGAAATTTTTTTCTCCAGAACTTCCTAGTCACAAACCTACCGTCCTCTTGCATGGCAGGGTACTGCACTTCCTTAGCTCTCACATATTTACTGTGCTTCCCCCTACGTTGTTGTCTCCCTCATTAGCCTACAGATTTATTTTCCATTCTATACTTCAGTGTCTCCTTTCTCTATACAATTAACTCCAGAAACTGTTAACTCTCACATTCTGCCAATCATATCCTATCTATTATTCCTAAAAACCCAAACATATTAAGGATATGTCACAGAAAAAGGTGTATCAAAGAAATGGGTAAAAGAGAAGGAGAAGCATTTCACTTAAACTGGGACAAGACAGCTGGAGATTCAATTTCTTACAAAATGACCTTAATCAAAAGCTTAGGATTTCTAGCATAACTAAATTACCTATTCTCAGTAAAGCCCATAAGGATTACATCTAAGACATTTCAGTAACTGATCGAATATGCCACTTCTAAAATATTTATTAAGCATTTGCATAACATATGATATGGCTTTAATTTCAAATTTATTAAAAACACACACACAGTCATTTCATACAAAAAACATACCCACAACTATGAGAAATAAGAGCTTACTATGCTTTCCAGTGGAAAAGCAGAAACTTTCCCATGACTTGTTTTCTTTTAGGCAAGGAAGGAAAGTAATCTAATTCATCTAACCTAAAGAAACAGTATTACCTTGGCTAAATACAAGCAAACAGCACTTCTACCAATGTTGTCTCACCGAAAAATATTTGTCATTTTCCACTCACTCCACTTCCCTCCTAAATTAGTACTATCTGCTTAATCTCAGCTGAGATCTCCATATTTCACCTATCGCAAAGATGAATTTTGGGTATAAACACAGCTCTCAGAGGCAAGGCAATCACTGCTGCAGGGTAACAGGAAAAATGTCTCTACATGGTTGCAATCATTTGCCTTTCACCACTTACTCAGAGCAAAGCAGCAAAAAAGTTCAGGTCATTTCCTGACTGGCACAGCAAGTTATAGCAAGATACACATTCTATTAATTTTTAATTGCATTGCTCGCAGACTGAAAGCCCAAAAGGGGAGTGTTTCTTTTTAAAGCGTAAAGAAGGGCACTGAAACTGCTTACCTCACTCAGCTCTGCAGGGGAGTCATTTCCATATTTCATAGCAACTCCAGAATTCATGATTAGACTTCTCAGGGCTTGACGATTTCTGCAGATTTCAATGCTTCAAAGCTTTGTTCAACTGGTTCAATACTTTCTCCTCCAAAATTTTTCCATCTGACACATTTTGCTCTAGACAGCCATTTTTACTCCACACTGAGAGTTTAAGTTAATGATGCAAGATTTTCTAAAAGAGCCAAACTGGTTTTGACTTCACAGACAATCCATTGCTGTGAGAGACTTGTTAATACTGTGGAGTGCTCAGAGAATTCAGAGAAGAAACTGCTTACCAGGACCTCAGGGCTGTCTTAGTCCATCTCCAAGGCGTGCTTCATCTCTGCTGTCTGTTTTATTCTGCTCTTTTCCACAACTCTGTTGAAGGGCATCTCCCAATGCCGTTGAACATACTCAGAAAAATTTGATGAGCTTCACACAAGTCCACAGAGAAATTAAAAAGAAGGGAGCGCTGCTACAGTCTTCAGTGTTCACAGAGGGAGAAAGGAAAAGAGAAGAAAGCTCCCCTCACCGAGAGAAACCAGTGTTGCACTTCACGCTAAAGTTTCCCCTGCCAGTGAGCCTGGAGTTTAAGTGGTTTATGATCAAACACAGCTGTCTTGCTGCTGGCTAAAGGGTGCATGGAAGGGGCGGTACCAAAAGGAGAGTGGAAGTGGGAGGGAGAGAGCTACAGAGAGTTCATTTTGGAACTACAGGCATCTCTTCAGCTTTCTGCATACTAATTACTATACAGAAAACTATAGAGCTAAGTAACAGGAAATACCATCTGGATAACAATAAATTGGATTCCTATTTCCCTATTCCTGTCTGCAATTAAGTAAGGAAAACTGGGGTTGTAACGATTTCAAAGGGTCACAGTAAGCCTGAAAGCACCATTAGAACACTGCAGATTTTACATAACAGACTGACATTTTACAAAAGATTCAGGAGATGCTACTAGAAGGGGAGAAAAAAGCATTTGCTTTCAATATTCAACTACAAACCTAGAAAAATCCTTAACAAGCTGGATTTGTGAACATGCTGCACCCATTGCAAGAACTGATGATATCCTGTTCCCTTTCTTCCATCCCCTAAAACACAGGGGCAGCCCCACATACTATATGATGCTGGATTATGATGTAGTTTTGGAATTAGAAGTAGGAAATACCCTACTGTGCAGCTGAAATCTATCTTATCATATTAATACAATGTATTATTAAAGTGTCAAATTATTTAAGAAAAAAACCCCTAATATAAGAAACAGAAATAAATGCTGCACAAGCTGTGGCACAGTTCTTGCACTCTGGTAAAAAACATCTGCATGAGAAACAATGCATTCCAAATGCAGCATTTTGAAAATTATATTGTGATTATTTCTTTCTCCTCTATTAATCACAGATTAGTATCAGTATGCAGACACAGGAATAATTCATCCCAATGACAATACAGAAAGTGCCTTAAAAGCAAGATAAACACGCGGATATTGCTCTATGATAGTACAAAGCGGTAGCACTTTCTGGGTCCCTGTCATTCCTCCATGCCCAGCATCAGGAACTACAACACTCCTCTGGAGGGTAATGGGAAAGCCATAGTCTCTTTACATGACGTTTTACTTTCATCCTCCAGGTCTCTAGTTTGCTTTAGCTAGTCTGCATCCTGGGGTTTCCCTTGCTCTTTACATGCCCACCTTGCATCGCCTCCATTCTTCATTATTTTCCTCGTTGAGTCCCTGTCCCACCTTCACATTTAATTCTGTCTCTACGTTCAGTGCTTCTGTGTATATTCCTCTACTCATCTGCTTTGTTTCCAACATGTTTCCAATTATGGCCCCTCAAATCCCAGCAACGGGCTGCACTGCTCTCTGCTGGTAGATGGGTGGTGATGCTGGGACAAATTGTGCTGTTCCCCTCCAGTGGGTAGGAATCCAGGAAGATGCAGACTCCTCCAGACTACAGACTGAAGTATGGAACAGCACATCCACAGCACTGAAATGTGATTAACAGGTTTTTATGCCCAGAAACAAGTGACAGTATAGTCACTTAGTTCACTTTTCACAGATGAGGAAAAACCCCCACAACTTCAGTTCAAAAATTCCTGCAGCCAATAAAATAAATTTAAAATGTTTTATCTTTTCAAAATTATGTCTTCACAAACGAGGGTGAGAGTTTTTTGGTTTTTTGCATCACTACCCCTATCAACTTTATTTTCCCCTTTATAATCTGCTCTGCTCTGATCTTTGTCCAGTTCTGTCACATATATCACAGGCTCACCAACTGCAGGATGAGCCTCAGAATTACTAAGAATGAAGTTCTAAGGTTTCCCTTTTCTAAAGGAAAGTCCATATTAATTATGGCTTCAATACACTGCATTTCCCATACTATGTCCCTATACTGCCAAATACTTCCCAGCCAATTGTGAACAGGTATTCAGAAATTAAAAGTTATGACTTGTTTTCTTCACTTGCCGTTGTTTGTCTATTTCTGGCAGATCAGGACATTTCAGCCATCCTACAGACCAGACAGAGCACATGGTACCACAGATGCATCCCAAGCATAGACTGTGCAGGACACTTTGGGATCTGAACTAGATCCACTGTAAACACATATGGTGCACAGGATTTTTTCTGCCTTTTTTCTACTCTATACAGTAACATGGTAGAAAGAGACAGAGAGACTGACTGAAAAATGACAGCAGAATTCACAGCTTCAGATGTGTGTAAGAACATGGAAGATACATGCAGGTACTTTCAGAACAAAGTTTATTTAAAATTTAAAAATTAATTGTAATCCATGTGCAAATAAATGAAATGGTTAAACCAAACTCTGATGAAAAATGATTTTACTTTAACCTCAGCTGACTCCCATTCAAATCTGCATGCTTGCACTGAGTGGTACAGGATTACATATTTCTCAGTTGGAAAGCATCAACTGTTAACTAACCGACAAAGACTGGCAATGCTTGTTTCAGAATCCTTATAAACTACTGAGGAGGGCTAGCTAAGACTAAATGTAATAATTCTTCTAAAATAGCTACTAATATATCACATTTTTAAAACAGTAGCATCAAGAACATAGTCTGAGCACCTGAAAATGTAGAACTTGTTCTTCTGTGAAATGTCATTATCATCTAGCATTTCTCCAAGTCCATTTACTAACTGAATGAAAATGTTACATCACAAAATTAAATTCCCAGACAGACTTGACCAGCTGTCTGCAGGCTGTTTCACCAGTTTCAAATACATGTAAGTAACCTAATACAATAGCAGGGTACTAAGAATTTTGTTGAAGCCAAAGTATATTTTCCCATTGGCTTGTGCCAAAGGCAGATTTCAAAGAAAACAAAGGAAAACCTCAAGTATGCCAATTTTGCATTGCCAGGAAATGAACAGACCACCCTGTGACCCAGTGAGAGAGGTGCCTTTTGGACTCAGTCCTTCTGTTTTGTCTGGTAGCGTACAGTTCGTTCTCTCTCTCCTCGCCTCAGCTCCTTGCCTAGGATAGCAATGCTTCCTTGCTCTCAGCCTTTTTCCTGCCTTCTCTTTTAGCCTCTATAGGCAGGGAGGGGGTTGATCTGGGTATGGGAAGAGGAATCTCTTAACCTACAGATGTACATTTCCTAGTCCAGGATGACATGATCCCAGTGGATGCCTCAGTGTGTACTGTGGTACACACAAAAAAGGGGTAACAAGCAGCTGGACAAACCTTTCTGTCACAGAGGCTTTCAGGACCAACATCCACCAAACGCTTTCTGTCAAGATAGTGATACTGGCCTGGGCTTCCACTCCCCCCCAGTGCATTCTGATCCATTACTGCCTTTTGTACCTCTAAAGCACTTACGATGCACATACTGCTTGTAGATAAGCACATTTGCACTGATTCTTCCCAAGATAATTTCAGAATTATGCAGCAACAACCATTAGTGTTGCCAGTTTGCTGATTGTTGATTTAATAATCTTATGGCCACTCTATTCCATTTGTTTACTCTTATCAAACTGCAGTGAAAGAAACATTGGCGCGTGTCCAAGAATCACCGTGGGTGATTGTATCTGAATAATCATTTAGTAAGATTTGCTCTATCACCTGGTGTAAAAGGATTCTTTCAGGACAAGACACAACTCTGTCGCCCTCCTCACCTTACTTTTGAAACTGCCACAGAATATGGAAAACATTGGCAGTTATTTAGTAGTTATTTTACAAGGTTTCTCCCTCATAACATGTCTCAGTAATTACAACAGTCTATTTACTTAGAGTTACTGGAGCAGGTGTGACACTAGGCACACATGAATATTCCTTCCTTGATTTAACAGCCACAGAGTGAAAACTACAGCATAAAAGCAATTTTCTATTAAATATGTATGTGTCATATATTCTTCATCATAATGTGCGCCATTTTCAGAGCAGCAGTTTCACTCTGCATGCAACATGCACGATTAGCTGATCACAATTCCAGGATGCATGAAATAAGCCCTTCTCGGTTGGTTCTGGTTAATTAGCTCTGTAATTGAAAAGCAACTAATTGAAGTCCACTGAGCATTTAGTTTCTGCTTGTTTGTTTCATTATCATCTCTGTAGTTAAAACATCACCCTGCACAATCCAATACACAAATAAATTACATCTTTAAGTACTGCAAATCTACTACAAACAGTTTGAGTACAATTTTATTTTCTTCTCATTCTTGCACAAAATACACTGGTGTAGTACCAAAGTCTAAATTTCCATGGACAAAATAGTAGCACTCAGAAGGTTAACATGAGGGCTAAACTTGGAAGCAGAAATTCAATACAGTAGTTGGATAATGTTTCCAGAAAAATCTTTATTCAATAGCACTAATGCACTATGATTTAAAAGGAGAAGGTTGAAAGGGATGGCAGGTTCATGATACAAACTGTTCTCATTAATGCTAGTGAAGGTTATGCACCTAGGTTGAGAGAAAAAAAATCCAACCTATCTGAACGAATTGCAAGTAATCTTACACTGAAAAATTAAGCACTCTCTTGGAAGAAAATAGAAGCAAAATCTTCTTCTTTCCTTCAATCAAACCATCTTGATTAGTCTGAAACAGATAACATGTCTAGAATAATACAATTTCCAAACAGCACTTTAATCAGCTACTCTCACCTATTCACCCTTCCTCAACTACTTAATCTGCTTAAAAAGTTGTATCCTTGACCCGAGCAGTCTCCTTGGGAGTTCACATTTGATCCTTCTTTCCATCTTCCAATATTTCAAGCCATGAAGCCACTCACCAACCTGACAAACAGACACTTTCATTTCCTATCACTTCATCCAAACCTATCACATTCATTTTGATTCCCTCTGACTCAACAGAGCCTCAGCACCAGATGAGAACAGGAAAAGGACGAGGGCGTCAATGTGTGCCTGTTATTAATGTTGGAGACTTGCCTGTGAGGACAAAGGGAGACAACAGCCACTTCTATGCTCTCTTCATGTTGCAGCCCCCTAATTATCATCACTGTTTATTTGCTCCTTGCTTAAAAACATCAACAAGGCCATTCTGTAAACTACAATTCATGCCATCAGACTGCTGCTTAGCTTCCTTTCACAGTCCAGCATTCCCTCAGTTCAGTTGTACATTCCTCCATTTATTAACCACAAGGTAAATTTGTTCATTTCACTTCCAGTCCCTACAATCTTGGTAGCCAACTTATATTC